ATTTGTTTCAAAAATATATTTTATCGTGTTAAAAATTTAGACCAAGAAGTAATTATTGGAACTCCTTTTATTGTTCAAATTTATCCTTTTCAAGCTGATTCAAAATGATTAACTATAAATATTTTTGGTCAAAAAAATTATTTTTAAATTTACCAATCCTCCTTCCTCTAGAGATGTTAATTCTTTAAAAGAAGCTTTAATTTCAAAATTAATTAATAATATTAATCTTAAGAAAAAACATATTCAATTCTTAAAAGAAGAGATAAAATTTTCAAGGATAGATGAACAGTTGAAAGATTCTTCTTTCAAAAGCAAATATCTCTTTTTCAAAATCGTATTGAAGAAGATATATGCTCCACTATTCCTAATGCTTTTTGGAATAGGAAAAAACATGTTGTGTTCCTACCATATACTCAAGATTTTCAAGAATCTCAAATTCCGAAAAAATCCCGTCCTATTCAAATGAATAAAGAATTACTTGATCACTGTATCAAGGAAAACAATGATTTATTGGATAAAAACTTTATCCGTCCAAGTAAATCACTTTGGAGTTGTTCGGCATTTTATATCAACAATTCTGCGAAAATTGAATGGGGAGTCCCTCGTTTAGTTATCAATTATAAACCTCTCAATAAAGCTCTTCAATGGATTAGATATCCATTACCTCAAAAGAAGGACCTATTAAATATCTTATACAAAACAATTATTTTTTTCTAAATTTGATATGAAGTTAGGTTTCTGGCAGATTCAAATATAAGGAGAAGATCGCTACAAAACTGCGTTCAACGTTCCTTTTGGAGAATATAAATGGAATGTTATGCCACTTGATCTAAAAAATGCTCCTTTCGTATTTCAAAAAATTATGAATGATATTTTCAATTCTTATTCAAACTTTATAATTGTTTATATTGATGATGCTCTAATTTTTTCAGAAAGCATAGAACAACATTTCAAACATTTAAATGCATTCATTCATGTAGTACAAAATAATGGTTTAGCAGTTTCTGCTAAAAATGTTGTTTTATGTCAAACAAGTATTAGATTCTTAGGACATAATATTCATCTAGGAACCATTACAAATAAGGATATTCAAACTTCTTGTAGACTTCCTCACAAGAGAGTTCTTACAAAAGAGAGAGAGATATACAAAGTGAGTGAAATATTCAAAAATTACAATATGGAGTCTTCTTCGTCAAAGAAGAAAGACAAAAAGAAAATTCAAATTCCAATTTGGTCAATTGATAATTACATTCAAAATTCCTCCGAAGGATCAAAGTATGCTAAACATAGCCCTTCAGCTTCTCAAAAAACTACCCTAACCTCAAAAAGCCCATCTTCTCAAGTTCAGAAAATTCCTGAACATCTTTCAAA